ACGACACCAGTCCTTGACATCGTCACAATAATGGACCCAGTAAAACTGTTCTCGGACCTTCTGTAGAGTTCGTTTAACTCCCAGATGGACTCTTGAACGACCATTATGGCACAGCTGTAGAACATTCAGCACTTTAGCTTTAGGGACAACCATTTGCAAACGACAGCTGTCTTTTCGACCATTGTCCCGTTTACGGCATAGGACAGCAAGCTGTCCCATTGGTCCCAATAGGTTTTCTTGGTTGAACTCATCGCTGAGACGTCGCTCCACTTAGGCTTGGTAGCACGGGCCTTCATCCATTCCAGAATCGGCTTGATGTCCGGATCTTCCTGCTGTGCATGTCGTAGGCTGTCCTTCCACTCGTTGCTGAGGTGGTCTGTCCTGAGCATTCTCACGGATACCACTTCCTCTCTCTCTCTCTCCTAGTACAATGTTTCCAATCTTCAGGACAAGGTCTTCTTGACAATGCATCTGCGTTTCCATGAGATTTCCCGCTGCGATGTTCGATCTCAAAGTCGTATTCCTGCAGTAGTTCAATCCACCTCGCAACTTGTCCTTCTGGATTTTTAAACTGCAATAGCCATTTTAGTGCAGCATGGTCAGTTCGTACGCGAAATTTCCGCCCCAGAAGACATTTGCTTAAATTCTGCAACGACTTTACCACAGCTAGCAATTTGCGTCTTGTGACACAATAGTTCCTTTCCGGTTTTGACAACGACTTGCTGAAGTACGCTATCACGACCTATTGGTCACCATTCCGTTGAGACAACACACCGCCAAGTCCTATATCACTTGCGTCTGTGTCAACTATAAATTCTTTGCTTGCATCAGGGTATCCCAAAATAGGTGTTTTGCACAGACGGTCCTTGAGCTCCTGGAATGCGATATTGCAACTTTCATCCCAGCAGAAATGTCGCTTCTCCTCGGTTAGCTTATGCAGAGGTTTGGCTATTCTGCAAAGTTCTTCACAAATCGTCTTGACGACTTCACGATGATGATGTCATCCAAGTAGACCAGACAGGCATTGCCAATTAGCCCGGTAAGTACTAGCTCCATCAGCCTTTCAAACGTTGCTGGAGCATTGCACAATCCAAAAGGCATTACTTTAAATTGCCACAGACCCTTTCCCGTCGAGGACGCAGTTTTCTCCTTGTCCTTAGGGTTCAATTCCAACTTGCCAGCAGCCACTTTTTAGATCTAGCGTGCTAAACCACCTTACTCCTGTAAGCATGTCCCTGCATCGGCATCGTCCTTCTTTCTAACGTCGTTCAGACGGCGGTAGTCAACACAGAACCGCATGCTGCCGTCCTTCTTCTTTACCAGCACCACGGGTGAACACCATGGACTAGATGAAGATTCAATAACACCATCCTTCACCATTCCCTCAATCATGGTTTACACTTCCTTTTCACGTTCTACCGGCAATCTTCTTGGCCGCTGACGGATAGGCAATTCTTCTCCTGTGTTTATTTTGTGTTGAACTAAGCCAGTCTTTCCTATGTCAGCATCGTTTAATGAGAATACATCAGCGTACTTGAGTAACAACTTCTTCGCCTTGACCATTTCGTTCGGGGAGAGAACGCTGCGACAGTCTTCCAAAAGTGTGGTCACTCTCGTTTGTGAATCCTTGCTGGGGTCCCACTCGATAGATATTGGCACCGACGTAACCAATCCACTTCCTCACAAGTACCAACCAGTGTGCCTTTTCTATAATCTGTTCCTGGTCACAAAGGTTCAGCACACGTACTCCTGAGATGTCAGTGGTTCTGACCAAGGTTCGAGCTACTTTCCATGGAAGGTCATTGTTTACCCTTTCCCAAGTATACAACGGTGAGCTTGCCCAGGGTTCCGAGGAAGACTAACCGGCACAATCGTTTCCGATCTCGAAGGAAGAACAAACTTCTTAATGCTGTACACGTTCCCTGGTAACGCACCTTCCATAAAAAGTTCCTCCTGTCCACATTTCAAAACACCTTGCTTAACGTCGATCTCACAGCATTTATTCTAAAGTCTAGGCCCAGGATGCAGTCGTCCATTATATCAGCCACGATGAAATTATGCAGGTAGATCATGTTGCCTAGCTTCAACTCCATCTCCTTCTCTCCACGGATGGGTATACGCTGACTGGTGGCTGTTACCAAATTAATGCGTTCTCGGTTGTATGCGGAGTCCCCAAGGAATTGACTAATAAGTTGGGAACTAACAATCGTACGAGAGGCTCCGGTGTCTATGGTCAGTTTACACGGCATTCCGTTGACCTCGCCCTTGATGATTAGACTGTTCCCATCATGGGTTTGTGAGATCGAGATCCTTGGGGCTCTTTACCCGCCCCGCAGTTCTGGCTTTTACTCGTTTCACTGCTGCTGCTGGGCGGTGCTGTTGGCCGCACTACCCTCCTGAGATCGTTCACCTTCCCTTTCTAGGGTTCGCTTAGGGCAGCTGGATCGAAGATAGCCCCTTTCCCCACAGCCATACCACCTAGGGCTGTATCCTTTGTTGCGGTCGCGAACTGTAGCTGCTGCAACCTCCCTGAAGCGATGGGAACGATGATCCCGCCGCACGGCTTCCACCTCCAGTGCATGGGCCAAGGCGTCCTTACGCGTCTCGTGGTGCCCGAGCCTCACAGCAGCTCTGACGTCAAGGTCGCGGATGCCGTCGATGAATGTCTGTACCAGGTTCCCTTCAATGAGCGCAGATACAGACCTGTATGCTTTTCGCACCAGCTTCTCCACCTCTAGAGCCCACTGCTGCAGGTTTTCATTGATGCTCTGCACGCGATCTTTAAGCTGCGCACCAAAGACGTGTTCCAGGTGAGCGTCGCCATATCTTACGTCCAATGCCTCAAGGAGCTGCTCATAAGTCACTTCCTCACCGAGAGCTTCCAGAACAGTTAAGGCCTGGTCACGCAGGCCTAGCGTGAGAGCAGTCATGGCCTGACTTTTATTCCAGCCGTTCGCTTTCATGACAGCCTCGAACTGGATTTTGTAGGCCGACCAGGAAGAAGTCCCGTCGAACGGCGGCTCTTTGAACCCACGTAGCGAAGGTGTTGTAGCTACTACGGGAACTGTGACTCCATCCCCCAGTTTGAGGTCGTCGAGCGTTTTCTCGCGTCAGCCATCACGTTGTCTACCCGATTGTTCACTTGGTCGATTCGGGTTTCAGATTCCGACAGGCGGTTGTCATGTTGAGCAACCTTATCCTTCACCTCCTTAGTTCTTCAATTCGATACTAGATGGCGCTGTTGGTTGAAAGATTAGTACTAGATGGCGCTAGTGCCAGACGTCAACTTAGGCGCGCAACACTATTTATGAATGCCATGTCATTGCGGCGTGTATGGTTTAATCAAATCTAGAAATGGATTTGAGAATGGACAGGACTGTGTTATGGTAAACACTGAACTCATTTGGGTTGAGCACTGGTTTGATACAGGTATTAAGGTGTCTTTATAGGGACTCTAGTGTTTGTGTCAGGATCAACGGGGTCTACTCTGACTGGTTTGGCATCCATAAATGTGTCAGACAGGGCTGTATAGCTTCCCCTTGCTGTTCAACCTATTTATGGACAGTTGTTTGCAAACTTTGAAAGATGAAGAATGTGGGTTAAGAATGGGCGAGTTAACCGTCAAATGCCTTTTGTACGCCGATGATCAAGTCATATTTGCGTCGTCGGCGGCTGAGTTGCAAATGATGGTTACATTAATGAACTGGGCATTAAAAGAAAGGGGAATGAAAGTAAACGCAAGTAAGACGAAAGTGATGGCTTTTGAAAGAGAAGAAAGCAAAACGTTATGTGAAATAAGAATACAAGTGGAGTTGATTGAGCAAGTGGATGAGTTCGTGTATTTGGGATGTGTATTCAGCAGGGATGGGAGATATGATAAGGATATTGAACGACAGGTAAATGCAGGAAATAAAGTAAATGGCGCTCTTCACTCTATTGTGAAAAGTCAGAATGTGTCAAAAAAGGCACGTATGGCAATTCACAATGCTGTATTAGTCCCTACTTTAACGTATGGTAGTGAAAGTTGGGTGTGGCAGAAGAAGCACGAACGTAGAATAAATGCAGTAGAAATGCGGTCGCTAAGGAGTATTTTAGGGCTGAATCTGAGTGACAGGGTGAGAAACTGTGTGATAAAAGAAGAGTGTCGTTAGCAAGATGATGCGGTGACTAGGATTAAGAAAGGAATGCTTTGGTGGTTTGGTCATGTCGAAAGAATGAATGAGGAAAGACTGACAAAGCAAATAAGTAGTAAATATGTTCCAGAAGTGAATGAAAGAGTCGCAAAGGGACGTCGACAAACGTCCTAGGCGAAATTTTGTCGACCAAATTGGCGATATATTAAAAATGGGCCAAATTAAGAGTACCCTTAACCGACGAGCATGTATGCGTAGTTATATGGATGTGGAGGAGGCGAGAGAGATATGTCAGGATCGTGCTAAATGGAAGTCTGTAGTCTCTGCCTACTCCTCTGGGTAACAGGCGTGAGTGTATAGTATATGGATTTTTGAACACCAAAGAATCATGACACTTAGTATGTATTAATTTTATGTATGTCACGCACAACAAAAGACGCTATAGTGTGAATGGTTACTTTCAGCCATACATAATCTGTAAATACATTTTTTGAAGAAACTGACTTCCTACAGTATACATTGTATACATCAATTCGTCACGTGTGATATCAACTTGAAGCCAAACAAATACCCGTATGTACTTGCTTTAAATACCCCACGTTTTTGTGAGTGCGTATTAATCTACGATACGACAAAATCTTTGTAGTATAATGAGGCCTCTGTATTAATCACTGTGATACCACACTTCTATCTTTTTATGAGTAAGTATAACTATATGATTCACAATGGGTCGATATGTACAAATATGAATCCACCTTCAACTCTCTTTAGTGGAAGATGAATGAAATGTCCTATCAGAAAAAAATAATTATATTTATTATCGAACATTCTTCAAGGTTAATGTGTTTGGTTCGTATGAATTCTCACCAAAATATTGCAGCATACATATCACAGCCACTTGCGATAAGATATTAGCCGCTGTGCCTTCCAAAGTCCTATTGCTATCTGCAACAAAACAAGTAATTCGATAAAATTAGTATGTAAATGAAAATCGGCCAAGGACCATTTTTGTTTGTGACGATTATGCTATGGTAGATTTTTTCACGATGTCCGCGTAGTGCACAGTGAAAGAAAGATAGAAGCATTTTTCTTTGGCACATACACAAAAAGCAAATGGTAATTAGAAAGCCAACCGAAAACCAAACCGATTATTGATTATTGGTCGAAGGGGTTGGATGCATCCATACCGACCACATGTCTTCTCAGGTACCGTGTACGAGGGCGGCACTGAAAATTTCGGGAATTAAGGAAGTGACACAACATTACTATTTAAAAATGTATTTACTGCTTTTCAAAGTATTCTCCGCGAAATTTGACACATTTTTCCATACGATGGAACCAATCATTGAAGCAACCATTCCATTAGGAAGTTAGGGTCTCCAAAATGGCCGTTTTGTAGGCGTCCACAGCTTCTTCAGGTGATGAAAATCTCTGTCCACGCAATTTATTCTTTATTTTAGTGAAAGTATAGAAATCATTAGGGCTTAGGTCGGGGCTGTACGGCGGATTGTCTAATAATTATGTTTTCTTGCTCTAAAACTCTTTTGTTCTGTGTGCGGTGTGAGAACTCGCATTGTCGTGATGGAGGATGATGCGGCGGTTGCAGTTCTCTTTACGGAGTTCAGAAACGACCTGTGGCAAACAAATGCTAGCATGCCATTTTGCATAAACCGTTCTTTGTCCCTCAACATGAATAGTCGTAACATGGCCGGTTTTGGAGACAAACGTGGCCACCATTTTTTTTTGCAACACTCCGTGAACGAACAATTTTTGTTGGCTTTAACTCATTTTCGAACACCCAAACTCGTGACTGGTTTTTTGTTTCGGGTTCGTACGCGTATATCCAGAATTCGTCACCTGATACGAGGTTGTATACAGCATTTGAGGATCCTGCCTGGAATCTTTCGAGAGTTCTAACGCACCAAGTAACGCGAGTCGCTTTTTGCCCTTCACAGAAGGAATGCGGTATCCATCGGGAAAACAACTTTTTTAGACCTAATTGTTCATGCAAGATTATTTGTATTTGACTCATGCCAATGTCTAAAGTTGCCTGAATTTCGCGGTATGTCACATGTCGATCTTCCTCAATCAGCTTACGCACAGCATCAAAGTTTTCTTGGGTGACTGTAGTTTTTGGACAACCTTGACGTGGATCATCACTGAGCTTGACACGTCCATGTTGAAATTCAGCAAACCAGTGATAAATTGTGGTTTTGGATGGGGTTTCATCACCAAATGCAGAAATCATCCGGTCAAACTGGTTTTTTACCACTTCGAAGTCATGTATTTTATAATTCCATTTTCTCAACGACTAAACAAGTTTGACAAAACCTTGTGACAAGACCGAGAATCTTTTTTTAAATAAATAAATGGTATTCGATTTTAAAAACCAAGGAGTTTTCAATTAAAAAGATTTTAATATGACCGGAACAGTGAAAATATTCCATTCCCGTTACTTTTAGTGCAGCCTAGTAAAACAGTGGCGAAGCCTCCATAGAAGCCCAGAAGCTGGGCTTGCTCTAGCAAACTGCTAAATCAATAATATCAACTAATAAAAAACTCGTAAACTGTTTCAAATTTCCCGCGCACTCCTCTTTTCTAGGCCATGACCTCGTAGCATATATTATGTAACTTCGAGTGCGTTAGCGAATGTGCGTGCGGCCGATACGTTTGCAAATTCACTTCACATTTCAATGTTTATGTTTGTTTTCGTTGTGTCTGTTGAAAATTTATGCTTTTACAAAGATTTTTAGTGAAAATGGGAGGACTATAGTATTCCTAGTGATGAATATAAGTGTGTTAAAGTGCTAATCGGCGAAGAAAAGGTAAAATTAAATTTTAATTCCATAAACATTTCTTCATACTTTAATAGGTACAGTACTCTTTATTAAAGTTTAATTAAGCTAGGCGTATTTAAAGGTTTAATAACTCAATACTTATTTCATCATACGAGTTAAAAATATCATTTTGAATGGCAGCATAAAATATGAGATAACTTGGTACTTATAAGTTTAATTTTATAGCAAATAAATTATTACAATCTTTTTTTAATGTGAAGGCTAAATTTTAATGTAATAAATCAAATGAATACTCGTATTTAGGTTTTTAAAGAATATTTCCTTTAGTCCTTCAGTATATAAAATTCTAATAGCGCCATCTACTTAATTCTATAGGTGAAGTCATTTCATCGAACGAAAATGTATTGACTCTCACGGTGGTACGTAAAAATACGCTAGATGGCATAAACACGCTACCGGCTACTTTATTAATTCAATATTTATATTACCATATGAGTTAAAAAAATCATTTTGTATGGTTTATTAAAATTGAATAATGATATAATAAATAGTCATTATTTTATGGAAAAATTTGCAAAACTTTATCTTTTCATTATACCATATCCAATTCCTGTCGTTATGTCTTTCTATGCATATAACTTAAACAAAATAATTTCGATGTTTCACATCTGCCAGGCGTCCCTTTTTGTAATTTTGTACATAGATTGTTTGTACTTTGTTCATGCTTTTCTTTTATTCATGTATTGTATTGTATGTAAATATCTTTTTCTTTCGCTCAAGCAAACCCAAACCACCGAACGTATGCAATTGCTGATATGTCATACAATCTATCTAGCGGTAGTATGCCTTCTGTGTGCTTTGTCAAAAACGTCCTTAACAGCACTGAATATGAAACTGATCAAGATTGGTGTGTTTTTACAAAACTGCTAAAAACAACAAAGCCATATCTTGGGCTTGCCCTAGTTTGGAGCCCTAGCTTCGCCACTGGTGTAAAACACTAATAGTTGATTCTGGTCGAGTTTGTAATAGTTGCCACGCCTGGCAGACGGGTTGACAACAGCAGTTTCATATTATTTTGAGTTGTTATGACAAGATGCTGCCACCAATCTTCTGTTTTACTTCACCTCTGTCGCCTCTTCACGATATGGGGTAGTTGATATTCTTACACAGTCACTACACGGTGATGAGTCAAATTACATAATTTATACTAATAACATTACCAGCCCAGTGCGTCTTTCCGAAAGTAGAACCAATGCAGCTAGCAGCTGTATCGCCAACGCCAATCGCCAAAACGCCGGCCAGCAGATCCAGCTTGGCCTCAGAGGGTGCCAGTATCAGTGGACAAGCCAGCCCGGTGAACAGGTATAACGGTGTCATTGCAAGCACGCCGCTATCCTGTCATATGCTAGTTAGATTTACGCGTTGTCATTACGTTGCGAAGTGGTAGAGCCATACTGCAGCTATAATATTATATTATAGTTGGAGCATGAATGGGCTCGTTCGGGGTAAGAAGCTCTCATGCAACGTTTACATACTCGCCGAGCACAGACGAGTAGCCACGAGTACGAACATGTTCTCGAGTATTCGTCTGTTTTCCACTCGATGTGAATATAGACGAGTATTGAAACACGTACTAGTCCACGAATAACACAGCGAGTTCCTCGTGCCGATAATGTAAACGTGCCATCACAGAATACATACGTGAAATAGCAGCTTAATACTGCTGTGTTTCTAATGGTGAGTGTAAAGATCCGGAGACCCTTTTTACTGGATGCCTCGCATTTTATCCTAGTCCTCATGCGTAACGCATCTGCATTTTGATTTGTAATTGAGAATGTCTATGGCAAACTATGGCAAATATAATTTAATATGCCGTAACTTTACCAATCTTATCTACTATAAGATTGGTAAAGTTTGAGATTGGTTTTGATTATTCTAAGATATATTAGTGCCCAGTCTATATGGAATCCTCAATTCTACTTTATCAGCTTCTTTAAATCCACCACTAGGTAATTAGAATATATAAGAGAAAAAGAAAATAAAAAGATATTAATTTTTTAACAGAAACCTTCACGCATACAGGTCAAACAAAGAAACAATAGTTTTTACAATATTTTGAAAAAGAGTAAATAATTATTTTATGAATTACATGTGTGTTTTGAGAACTACGAGTATCAGTTAAGTGGTAATTTTTTTAAATGTTCTTATTTATTTGTTTTATCGCAGTGTATATCGTGACTTTATCAAAATAAAACTTCTGCATTCTTCCGCCACCGAGTAATATCTGTTCTTCCCGTTGATTAATAAGCTGCAAATTGAATGAGGTTCCTTTGACAGCATCAATTTTCTCAACGGTTAAACAGAGCCCCCAAAAATATAACATTATATTATAGTTGTAGCACGAATGGGTCCGCTACGGGGCACCGGGGTAAGACCACGCTCTCATGCAATGTTTACATGAGCAAGCACAGATGAGTAGGCACAAGTGCTACAGCATTCACTTACCATCAGGTAGACTGTATGCTTGTTTGCCACCCTTATTCTATAAAAAAACAAAAAAACGCATTGAGAAAACTAAGAAATGACGGCTTTTAATAACAAAGTTATATTTATAACAGCCCACAGTGTGTCACAGTCTACACGGGCCTCAATCATGGAGGGTTGGCGATTTTAGTACCAAATATGCCGCATCTTGACGCTGCTCCCCGATGTTTTTGAAGAAATACAATGGCAGGCCATAAGAATTCTCTGACATTTCTATCGTCCCCTCTTACAACCGTAAGATATAGCAAGGTTGATTCTCTTATGCCAACTACAACCTCAGTAGTACTCAAAAACAGTAATTCCCTAGCAATGGAACTAATATTTCTTATTGTACTTGCCAACATACTCACCTTTTCATCACTATAAACAAGGAAAGCCGAATGAAGCGCTGACGAAATCGGTTCGATTCCACATATCCTCAGGGCCTAAAAGATTTATTATAGTATAAAGTTGTACTGTCGATGAAATCAGTATGACTAGTAATATGACTCATGACTCATGAGCATAAAGCAGTCAGCATTAACCTACAACACGTAAGTCGAGATGATTTGCTTTGCTATAGCCGCTTTTGGTGACAGTATACGAATATACATAGTCACATCATACAGTCCCTGGCTCTATGTGGCTTTGATACCCCCTCAAATTAGACAACTTTTTTTGTATTTAGCAACTCTAATTTATTAATTGTTTTATTTTTATTTCTATTTTTACTTATTTATTGTTGATACGTGTGTTTCATCAATTGCCTTAGACCCTGTATGAATTATGCGCAAAGGCTGTGGCAGAATAGTAGGAGTAATGGGTTTCCCGTTACAACTGAGTCACAGACCGTTTTGTCACAACTAATTATTAAGCTGTCTATTTAAATTTTAACATTGTATTTTTGTGTGGCAAATAAGTACTTTTTGAAGTGAAAACTTCTTTAGCGGCGTTGTACACTTTTTTGTAATGGGTAAAAAATGTTCAACTCGCGTTAGGACACGTGACCCTGATCGAAAATTCGTAAGACGGATGGAGAGAGAGACAGCCGGCGCGGCGTAGGAGAGGAAGTATCCCCCTCTCTTTCTACGGCGCGGCGAAAATGTATGCCTGCGCCTGCTGTTTCGTTTAGGCGGCGCAGGGCGCTTGCGCGAATGTTCGTGTGTGATAATTAAAGCAATTCGTGCAAAATTATTCCTTAATCATTCCAAAATATCAAAAATGCACAACGCTAATATTTAAGTTTTCACTTCTGCCGGCACTCTCGGAGTGCAACCCGTCGTTATTATTTATTTATTTATTTATTTATTATATCCACTACTCCTTATCGTCCCGTGGGTGTCGTTAGAGGCAACAGAGAGAAACAACCCAGGAGATGGGCAACAACATCTTCTAATTAACTAACATCTCCCCTATGAGACAATCTATAGGGGGCGCTTACCTATGTTCAGCAGTGGACTTTTGACAGGCTGTAACTGTAAATTTTTAGGTTGTGTTGTGACAATCTAACCTAGTCGTGATCTTATCCAATCAGCGTTATATTAAGCATGGGTAGATTAGAATGTAGAAAGACAGTAATAAAGGTTCTCGAGGAGCAGCCCCGTAACGGTAAGCAAAGTGTAGGCAGCGGAGTTAAGTCGTGGAGGAAGTAGATGAATGCAGGTGGCTCAATACCGTGTTTTGTAGCATTTCTTGGGGGAGGCCTATGTTAAGCAGTGATGGGGTATTTGCCATAGTTGCCACTCTTGACAGTCAGATTGATAATCGTAGTTTTTTTTTTTCTAGTTTTTATCAGGAAGACGCTCCTGCCTATCTCTTGGTTGTTTACTTATGTCGCCTCTAACAACACCCATATGCCAGTATGTGGTACTGAATATATAACACTGCCACCACACGGTCATTTCAATAAGTATTATTTGTTTTCAATAACTACTATAATATATTATTATTAATTAAATTAAAAATATACTATGTATTAATTTACATTAAATAAAGCACAGAGGCTTAGTGCTCGCTGTAAATTTCACTGTTAGTAAGCAACCCGGGTTCAATCCCCGACGACACCAATGAACTGTTAATTGCAATTTTAAGTGCTGATTTACCACATGCTCAGCAGTGTGGGAAAACATTGTGAGGAAATCTGCATTTCTAAAAAACAAAAGAAATTCGAAGAACGTGAAGTTAGCCAACACTCATTAGAGCATTGGAGCAGCGCAGACACGTCCTTGTCCTAAAACCCTCTCAGAAGTGAGAGGTTTTTGAACATTATATAGGCTGTATAACTTTCAAAAAAATATTCTATTGTATTCCATTCTTCATAATCGACTCTTACACATTTGGGATGCAAGAATAATTATTACTGTTAAGTACTTCACCACCACATGCAGTTATAAAACTAAAATTAAAATATATCAAATAGCATGTTATACAAATAATCATTTGTTTACTTTTACCTCAGTAAATATCAAAAGTGCAAGCCCAATGCCTGCGGCTAAGGTCATCAGAGAAATATCTGTCAGGATTCCACTGAGAAAAACTAAACAAGCCAAAACATGGAATGTCTTTCGTGTCACTGTGCTTGCCTTTGTCGCCATCTTTGTTTGTATAAATATTACAAATACAGCAATGATAACCATTGAGAGCCAAATGATCAGCAATTTAACCTGAAATGGAAATTTTATATCAACAAGTCTCTCAAGAAATGTACAAAATGTTTATAATATTTAAATTGTTGTAATTTGTTTAGGTTATTGAATCTTGTTATAGATATGAAAATTGAGGAAATAATATTTAGGAATTGCAAAGGATAACAGTAGACAAAACGGTAGTACATTACTAATCGGCATGTGTATCAATTGTTCTTTAGCATTTAAAAGAATTGGGGACATCTACGTAAATAATCAGAGGAACAAGGAGGCTTCCGTAACGTATGTATCACTCGCTTTCGATGAGATCTTTTGTTTGGCAATGGCGCTATGAGGGATGCATGCAAATTGTTGACTAATATACTTCAATAATAGGAAAACTAAGTAAACCATCAAAGAAAAAGTGTAAAAGATGAAAAAGACTATATCAGCCTATTAAATAGCACAGCTTGGGAAAGTCAATTTTATAGAGTAACAAGTTTGTTGGGCTTAGAGATGAGATTTTTTTTATTTTAAATAGTTAAGAAGTAATAAGCTATCTGCACCAAGTGCATAAGTGTGTATGCAGTCACTGGTGCACTCTCTATTCCCTGACTCTCATATTATAATGCCCTAAGCCCACATCATCATCATCATTACAGCCCTTCACAAGTCTACTGCTGAACATAGGCCTCCCCCAAGTAATGCCACAAAGCACGGTCCCGAGCCACCTGCATCCATCGACTTCCTGCATGTCTTACCAGGTCGTCACTCCATCTAGTGGGGGGTCGCCCTACACTACGTCTACCGGAACGAGGCTGCCACTCGAGAACCTTTCTTCCTCATCGGTTATCGGTTCTTCGAGCTATATGGCCCGCCCATTGCCACTTCAGCTTACTAATCCGTTGGGCTATGTCGGTCACTCTGGTTCCTCTGCGGATATGCTCATTTCTGAGTTCATCACGCAGAGAAACTCCGAGCATAGCCCTCTCCATAGCTCTCTGCGCGACCTTGAGCATCCTCATACGGCCAGCAGTGAAGGACCACGTCACAGATCCGTAAGTCATCACTGGCAACACGCACTGGTTTTACAATCTAGTTTTCAGAGTTTGGGGTATGCCTGACGAGCAGATGTGTCGTAATTTTCCGAACGCTGCCCAGCCGAGTTGAATCCGTCGACTGACCTCTCGGTCGAAGTTGGACTTATCTAGTCGGACTATTTGTCCCAGGTAAACGTACTCGTCAACAACTTCGAACATAGTGTTCCCAACAACTACCGGCATAGGTGTGACATGGACATCCATATTTCCATACTAATATTATAAATGCGAAAGTGTGTTTGTTTGTTTGTCCTTCTTTCTCGTCGCAACAGAGCGTCGGCATGGCATGATTTTTTGTATGGGGATAGTTCGGTGGCTGTAGAGTGACATAGGCTACTTTTTTCCGCGGAAAAACATCTCATTCCCATGGGAAAATCGAATATGTTGCACAAGTTTGTCCTCCTTTCACGTCGCAACAGAGCGTCGCCGTGGCATGATTTTTTGTATGGGGATAGTTCGGTGGCCGTAGTGAATAGGCTACTTTTTTCAGGGACTTTGGGGTCTTTCTTTCTCAAGTTTGGGATAGTTCGGTGGTGTAGAGTGACATAGGCTACTTTTTTCAGCGCAAAAACATATCATTCCCGTGGGAAAATCGAATATGTTGCAAAATTAAATTCAGCTAGGTGGCGCAATCGTGATGCTACAAGACGGACGACAGTACGACTGACGACTGACCTCTCGGTCGAAGTTGGACTTATCTACTCGGACTATTTGTCCCAGGTAAACGTATTCGTCAACAACTACCGGCATAGGTGTGACGACATTAAACATGATCTTTGTTTTGTCCATGTTCATCTTAATACCTATCCATTGGGAGACACCACTGACGTCACGTGCTTGGTTCGATTGCCGATGATAGTGCTTATCATCAGCAAATCGAAGGTGAGTGATGTATCCTTTCCAGTCCAGTAGTTTGAAAACGTCTTCCAATGCAGCGGTGAAGAGTTTTGGCACTATAACGTCACCCTGTCTTACACCTCTCTGCAGTTGGAAAGATTTCGAAATCTGGTTCTGTACTCGGATAGCCAACGTAGCCCTAATGTACAAACACTTCAGCAATTCGATATACCGACAGTCAACTTGGCACCGCTGAAGGGACTGTAGCACCGCCCAAATTTTGACGGAATCAAAGGCTTTCTCATAGTCCACATACGCCAGGCAAAGTGGCAGATTGTACTCTTCGGTCTCCTGTACAATCTGCCGCAGGGTATGTATGTGGTCTATGGTACTGAAGCCTTTTCGGTAACCGGCCTGTTCGGGAGGCTGGAATTCGTCGAGTCTACATGCGAGACGATTCGTAATGACTCTCGAAAACAGCACGTAGACGCGGCTCAGAAGGGAAATCGGTCTGTAGTTCTTTAAGAGAGCGTTGTCACCTTTCTTAAAGAACAAGACTACCGCACTTCTGCTCCACGCCTCCGGAGTAGTGCCACCATGGAGGACGGAATTGAAGGGCTTCTGAAGGACTTTAAGTAACGGTGTTCCACCCGCTTTCAGAAGCTCCGCTGTAATTTCATCCTAGCCTGGGGCCCTGCTGTTTTTAAAGTGCTGGATTCTAATCTCGCTCAGACTGACGACAGGGATATCATCGGAATAGTGTCGGATAAGACTTGCTCTTGGATCGTTACTCACACTTGCGTGTGGCTCTAACGCCGATGTGTACAGCTGCCCATAGAACCTCTCAATTTCACTCAAATTCTCAGGAGTCCCGGAAACAATGCTGCCACCCCCAGTCTTCAGCTTACGAAACTCTCGTCGATACACTCCCAATCATTACAACGTTGTTAACAAGAGACTTGTGGACCATAAATCCAACACCTCCTTGGGAGAGATGGTCGAACTCCCGGTTATAGAACAAGTTGCCGGATTTGAGAATCACCGTGTCCTCCCCCTCTCTTCGGACCTCGAATAATCCTATAATATTCCAGCGCAACTTGTCTATCTCTTCTTCCAGCTCCAGGATCTTCTCGTCAGTCCTCAGGGTGTGTGCGTTATATATGTTGCAATGTGGGGTAGTCGTAGGTGGCAACCGAACCTCCACCGGAGATTCTTAGCACTCCTTGCCCCACCGTTACAATGGTCGCCACCGTAGCCAGGAATAACGGGACCGTCGGGGACTGAGGGCCGTCTATTTGCGTCGTTTCTCATGGGTATAAGCCATAGTTAGGGGTATATTGCCATAGTTGCCACGCTTGGCGAGCGGGTTGGCAACCGCAGTTTTTTTTGTACAGTTGCTGTTATCAGGAAGATGCTGCTGCCCATCTCCTACCTGTTTCCCTCTGTCGCCTTTTACGACACCCACGGAAAGATACGAGGTAGTGGATATTCTTAACCACCAATACATGGCTACCTAAGCCCACCTCTAAGAGGCGTAGGACTAATGGCTTTATATGTTTGAGCATGGAGGTTGAACACCACCAAGTTCCTAATGCAGAGCCGCTACTGAGAATTTTTAGACAGAAAAATCCATTAATAACTAATTTTGGTCTGATTTGGAATTCAAACTGGAGACTACATGATTAGCAGTTGTGCTGACGACCACTAGACTAGCAACGTATTAAAAAAAAGATAATATATATTGGTTTTCATAAATAATACATTGAAAAAACTACTTACTCTTTTAAAATCCATAAAAATATATGCAATAATTCTGATAATACATTTTCGTCCCATAATTAAATGCCATTCAAGCAACATAATTACCGCTCCAATTGTAATTATGTATCCCAAAGATTTCACATTCTTGTAATTATCATTTAAAAGGAACAATGCTGTAACAATCAATCCCATTGTTGATAACACAGTCTGAAATCCAACAAATAATTTCTAACGTAAAAGAAGTTTAGGAGTCTTTGATATTATCAATATTATAGTTATGATGATAGTCTAACTGTATTTTAAACATGACAACATACTGCTGCAAAAAATCTAAACTATACAGGTATTGATGAAACAATATATATAATAGCTATAAAAATAAAGAAAAAATAAAGAGTCAAGCAATATGAATTAAAGGAACTTTGAAGGGTCCATAAACAATAATGTGTATTCATGACATTTTCACTTTAGTATCCAAGGTTTAAGATGTTTACAAATATGTAATAATGTCTAAAAGTTTCAATTTTTAATTTTTTTTAAACCAGAATTTAGTCAACTATTACATAAATACTTCATAAATTTGTACACTTTATAAACAAAGACCAAAAAAAAGTTAAAAGTGGCCATTATACAGAAAAACTTCCAACAAATACATCATAGGTGCTATTACAAACTTGAACAATTTTGTTCAAGTATGACTTATATCAATGTGGGACAAGAGAATCCCACTTGTAGCTGACCTCATGTTCTTCTTTTTTAGGGTTCCGTAGTCAACTAGGAACCCTTATAGTTTCGCCATGTCTGTCTGTCCGTCTGTCCGTCCTCGCTTAATCTCTGTGACCGTTAGCACTAGAAAGCTGAAATTTGGTACCAATATGTGTATCAATCACGCCGACAAAGTGGTAAAATAAAAATTGGAAAAAAATGTTTTATTAGGGTAGCCCCCCTATATGTAAAGTGGGAAGTGATTTTTTTTTTTAATTTCAACCCTTACGTGTGATATATTGTTGGAAAGGTATTTAAAAATGAATAGGGGTTTACTAAAATCATTTTTTGATAATGTCAATAATTTCAGAAATAATCGCTCCAAAAGTAAAAAACAATGTGTCCCCCCCCTCTAACTTTTGAACCATAGGTTTAGAAAATATGAAAAAAAATCTGAAAGGTAGAACTTTATAAGGACTTTCTAGGAAAATTATTTTGAACCTGGATGGAAACAGTTTTTGTACAAAAAAGACAAAAAGTTGTACAAAATAATTTCTGGACTAAGTTTGTAGTATAATCGTTTAAGCAGGCATTTTTTTAACTTCGTTTACATATTTTATTATCCTGAACGTATCTTTTTTCAAACAAAAAAAGAATTATTAAAAAATTATCCAAAATTACCACCGAAAACTTCTGGCACGTCTATGTATTAATTAGTAACCCAATTCCCCGAGAGATGGCGCTGTAGGTACTTATTATATTGGGTCGGGTATTATCGAATTGTTCGGTTGGTCTCTCCTTGGCATCGCCTGTCGCGGAGCGTGCAATGTTGCACGCTCCATGTTCGCGCACGTACCCACTACCGGGAGCAGTTGCAGGAGCGCGGAGCGCTGCTGGAGCGCGAACATAATGGATACCCACCTTTAAACTCATAAGTGGGAACACTTATTGTGACGGACGGGAAACTACGGAACCCTACACTGAGCGTGGCCCAACACGCTCTTGGCCGGTTTTTTTTAATAATTCAGATAAGAATTATCATTTAAGTCATGTCATATCAGTATTTTTATAGCTTTCATCAGTTCCTTCCATATATTATAAAATTATTTGACATATTATCATAATATTATTACCCTAATTTGATCAAACATTAAAACTAAAATAATGAATGATTAGCACTTTGGATTTGCATATATAACAATAGTTCCACAATTGTAATCACAAGTATAGTTTGTTCTGTGAAAAAAGCAAATTAGAAATTGTGGGTTTCATAACCAATTGTTACAGCACCATTGCAGTGCTACTGGTAAAGAGAAAAGTATTTTTTTACTAATTGTTACACTGGTGGTCATGTATGTGCCAGTGGGACCATAGTTGAATATATAAACTAAATTACTAAGTATTTATAGGAGTATAGTATAGTAGTTATAAGAGATGTATATAAACTGACTACAAAATTTTTTACACAAAGAAATGTGTCATCAGCAAAAATAACTACATTCACCTCTTTTTCAATCATAATATAGCACTTCATTTATGTAAATAAAAAATAAATAAGGATCACAAATCAATACTTAAAGAACATCTATTTGCAAATTTGAAATGCTGCAATTAACTACAGATTAAGATGTGATAAACTCAGTTAACTGAGTTTACACACCCATACTTACAAAGACTAAAGTGTTGATAAATGTGGATTCCTCATCAATGCCATTCACAAATCCATTAAGAAATTCAATAATAGAGGCAGTTACAAATAGTATTATACTTTGAGATATCACCATAGCTTCTCCAATTGTAAATGTCTTTGGTAAATTTATGACACAAATTTTAAGCAGTGCATTAAAAAAATAAATGCATGATAAGGCAGAAACAAGTGAAGTTAAAAGATCTGAAAAAAAAATTACATATAAATATTAATGGACTATTCAATATTTTTCAATAAAATATTACATTTAATTTGACAAACATATTGAAAACCTGTAGCAAAAGATTCTAACCTTTTCCTAAGAAAATATAAATAAGTAATGTTGAAATCAAACTTGATGCCATACATCCTCCAAAATCAAATTCCTTCAGAATTACACTTGATATTGATAGAAATAATATTAACAGCATACAGTAGAAAAATAAGCCAACAGACACAAAGCTTATTATGTGGTATTGCACTGACATTTTATATAAAATTGTGTACATTATGAGGATCATGGGAAGAAGCATGTAACACCACAATCCATTGTTTTTGGTAGATCTGAAAATATCCTACAGATATATTTAAAATGTTTAATGGTTTCCCTGCAATAAAAGTGTAGCTGTTATAGTGTATCTCATATATAGTTTTATCAATAAAACCAATTGAAAAAAGATTACTGATTTTTCTTTTAATTATGTCCTGTTGTTTTTATCAGTAAGTTATTATAATAATAACAAGGCACACATGAAATGGGCAAAGTTAACTAGCGCCAAAAAGTACTTTACTTATATAATATAGAGTCTCGGGCTCAATTTTCTTAATCTATGCAAATTATCTCCCCTGGCACCCAGATGGCTGAAGAAAGGGGTCAGCTTTAGTAATCTGCTGCATGATTTAAGTGGTCATTTTAGGTTAAGTTGACAGGCAATGATGCTATTGATTACCATATAGCTGCTTTTTATGCTGGAAATCATTAGTTTTCGAGATGTCAATAGTTAAATTTTTGAGGTTATATCCATTAATTCAAAAATCATAATGCATGGACCACAACATAGGTCCGTTAGGTGCAACCGAACCTATCCTGGCACCTGCCACCAGTGAAGTGCCATAAGGAACACTATAAATTGAGGTTAACACATGACACAGCAGAAATAATCTCAATTTGGTGACTTTGACTCTTGCTGACCTTGACTTTTTTGTGACAGACAGCAGAGGCTTTTCCCTCCCTGAAAACTCCCACATTCCCATGGAACCCGAATGTAACTTTTTCGCCGGATGACCTTTTTTTAATAAACGAAAGCAATTTTGCCTTAATATGTAACATAATTAAATAAATAAAAAAGGAGATTTCTGGCACTTTTAGGGGGTTCCTACCCCAGGGTTCCCTTCCCCCGCCAACTCGGCGACCATATATTCATGCGGCAGTTTACTAAAAAAAAATTATAAATAGTGGGGAGGTTGCAACACTTCCCCATTTTAAGGAGGGTTCCTTCCCCTTCCTACCTCTACCCGCCCACTCGGCGACCATGTATTCGTGCGGCAGATTACTAAAGAAATACTGAAGAAAGCTCCAGAAGATGCTTTTTTACGAAGTTTTTCCTATTTAACTTGAGTGTCTTCATCATTCGTGCTAATATTATATCAAAGAATTCAAAATAACTTAGAAGCTAGATATTTATAATAGCTTTCTACCATATATAGTATATAGCTATATATATAGCTTATATATAGCTTTTAGAAAATTATAAGCATGAAAAAAATTTGTAACTTGCCTTGTAACTATTCCACCTTCTCTGAGATTCCTAGATACTTGAATATCTAAAGACATTGCGAACTTTGCTAATTTAGTACTAACATTTTGATTGTTTGATAATTGGAGAGATCCTTCCATAATAGTTATAAAGAACACAAATTTTTAAAATTAATGGAAGATTAAAATTATTTACGAAATTATTGATACTATAAGTTACCAGATTTAGTCAGTTATTTATACACACGCGTACATAAGAAATAAACGTGTAATCATTTTATCGCTTTTCCCTCAGCTGATTTATTATTTACTCTAATCCACTTAATCTCTTTGCTCAGTGTCAATGTCAAAAAGCCGGGCGCAGTGTTGCCATATATACAGATTTCTCCGTATTTATTAATAATATATATAATTGTTATATATATTATTAATAAATATAATTAATATACAGATTTTCGGTGTGTAATACAGATTAGCACTGGATACAGATTTTTATACAGAGTTTTCTAACTCTATTGATTGGATTATCATAATATTCAACTTAAAACAGAACAGAGCAAAATATATTATGACTAATTACCGCGTTACATACATCATTGCATGATTCAATACTTGTTAATTAATTTTTTTTTCACTGCGTAATTGATTACTACCAAATAAAATCAAATCAAATCTTTTTATTTTCAGACAATATAGGTCCATAAGGGTTAGTAATTAATTCTAATAGTAAGGGGTAGTATATTATAATAATAATTTAATTTAAATAATTTACCTAATTAACCTAACAACAACGAAACAACAAAAATAGAACAAAAACGAATAATTTATTTAAAATTTTAAAAGATATTTACAGTTTTATATAAAAAATATGAAGATGACGATGGGTGACGTGAATTACAATTATTTAAAAAATAAAGATAAGTGATCCAGTTTTGAGGTGAATACAGAAAATCAAAACAGAATGGAAAAATAAATTTAAAATAGTGTAAAATGATATGTAAGTAGCATAACACTACAAGGCTCATCCACCCGCACGCCAGGCTCAGGACCAGGCATCCCCGTGGAGGGGCCCAGCGGCGATCGTACCCTGAAATGTTCCATAACCAGGTTTGCAATTCCCTCCGGGTCACTAATCCCATCTACTCTGACCGGCAGGCCAGGCTAAATCTCCAGTTTACTAGTGGACTTACAAAATTTCCCAAAATTTTTATCCGCTCGCAGTTTCGCTATTTTATCCATTTTTATTTGATCTTCGTTATTTATGCACCATTTGAGTCTACTTTTAAAAACCTTGCGTGACTCGCGCATCTGCTCATATATTTCACCTACAGCGGGTCTATTGTATAAAACCCACATTTGAAATTTAAGCCTGGCCTCCCGATGAGCATCCCTCACATATTTATTCCACCCACACAGGATCTTTTTTCTACGAGGCTTATCAATTTTTACGCAATTTGTTTTAATAGCCGCCATTTTTAGTGTACTTACAATTTGTTCATAGAAATTGTCGACCAAACTTTTATGACAGACATTATCGCATGACCCGTGACTGCAACTAGCGAATTCGGGAGGAAAATCAATGTCTCGTAGCTCTTTATGACATAACTCTTGGTACTTTCTTATCTGAGACTCACTTCTTTCTCCCAACGAAACCGCACTGCGTTGCATGTCACGCATCACCCGTTTAGGCCTTACATTCTCTAAACTACACTCTAAGTAGATAGGCAGATGATCCGATCCACATACAACTTCAAATATACCTACATCAGTGACAGTATGCCAGGCTGATAAGGAGACCACACAGTGGTCTAGCCACCTCGTACCACCATGACACTGGTCTAGAAAGGTACGTACGTATTTGACCCTAGCATTTGTACATCTGCACATATCAGGTAAAGGTAAGGTACGTATTTGCCCCTAGCATTTGTACATCTGCACATACCCAAGACTGATCCGTACGGAAACGACTTAGTTCGGTGTAGAAAAGTTCTTCGGGATGTGCATTATAATCTCCTAATATATACATATTCTCCACGTTGTTACTAGCTTCAATTGCACTTATTTCACTTAGTATTTCTGTAAAAATAGGTAAGTTTTTATCCGACTTAGTCGGCATATAAACAGAAAATACCAAGATGGATCTATCCCCTACTACACCCTTGATGGCAGCTAGCCGCTTATTAGAACATTCTATGACCGATACACAGTCGAACAAGCCCTTCTTCCAGAGAATAGCTACTCCACCGTATGGTCTCCCCCTCAGAATACCAGAGGAAGTGTCCACAGCAGACTTACCGGTGTACTCAAACTCGTCAGAAACAGTTCCTAATAACGGAATATCATGACTAAGAAGCCAAGTCTCCTGTAGACAAACTATACTACCCGTTCTACATAAATTCCGAACATCGTTAATCGATGTCTTAAAGTTCTTACAGTTATAGGTTATAGCTATACAATCTGCAGTAGGTAGTTTTCACAACACATATTAAAATTTTATTTATGAACTTTATCACTAATCTCCTCACGTACAGTTTTGTACCTAAAATGCACAAACCTCCTAAAGGTTATGCCGTCTGGCCAGAATTCATCATCTAAAAATAAACTCAATTTATTTTTCGAAACATATAATTTATACGCATTATATTTTCTTGTAGAATTCATTTTTATCATTTTTAGTGTCACAATTTCATTAGTTTTCGTCTTTAATGTAACTAATAATATCTTGTTCACACGCTTCCTTACTAACGTTAGATATAAACAACGGTATTTTGACATCCGCAGCTTTAAACTTCACATCAGGGGCCGTGGACGCTTTACCTTTCTGACCAATGAGTTTATACCTTTTAGCGGTTTTAGATCTGACAATTTGCCACTCGTTAGTATTCTCTACTACCGTGGTACAGTCTTTTATTCTACTTTTCCCCACATCACTCGATTTACATGCTACCGCCGCCGAGGTACGACTCGGCTCGCTGACGTTACCGCCGTCCGCGCAGGTAAAGATATCAACAGGTGTGTACGGAACCGCAGTACTCTCCGTGGACTCCACGCGCTCCAAGCAATGCTCCGTCTTGCTCCCCTTCCGCTTATTATAGCTTCCCGAATGTTCTTTCCGACACGTCTCACTCACGGCGTACGAAACCGCAGTAGGGGCCTCCACGAGTTTTTGGTGTTCTGTTTCATCTTGTTTACTGCTTTGGAAAGGGACAGCCTCAGTCTCGCTATGATAATGCATCTCTCGCATTAGTGTTGGCGTTGAATGGCCGTTATTATTAATTTTAACAGCTGATTCCTGTGCAGATTTTATAGGCACATATTGGAGTCCCATTGGGCCACTGTTCAGGTCAAAGTTATCACTATCTTGTTGGCAAGCACCTTGTCGTTTATTAACGCAACTACGAAGTGGAAAGCTTTCTACTTTAGATGTATGCTTCATGTTGTCAAGCTCAAGTTTTAATGTCTCAAACATCTCAATTGTTACAGTCTTTTCTCGTAATAGATTTACTTGCCTTTGTAAATTCGCAATTTCCTTAAGCAGACGTGTACAATCAATGTGGTCAAAACCAATACTCGGAACTGCATGTAGGTCCTTTGCCACAAATATGGGAAGAATTTCCGAGTTCACAGACTTTAGACGAGAGATGATGTCGTCTAAGTCTTTTGACATTCGTTTTTTACTATCTCCACGCCGTAGTGGCATCTTCTTCACCTTGGGTAGCGAATCAAACAGCAATTTTTTTGCTGTTACAATCTGGCCCACACTGAACGAAGACGTGATCAGGTGATGAATGCTTTCTTCATCCATATAGTCCAACACATTAATTAAAAATGTCAACAGCTCATTAATCACCACATTACAGTTGGTGCACTTCATGATAGACGACATCACCATTCTGTGAGTTACAGACTTACGTCGAAAAGCGTTCGCACGCAGTCGATTGCGACTTATGACTGACTTATGACTATGGCAGCATTACAAGTGTAATATAAAATATGTACATTCGATGACCTATTTTACCGTCTGTAAAGAAATAGGGTGTAATATGTGAACGGAGTAGAAGCCTATCCTATGGTACTGATATATAACAAAAAATAGAAACAAAAACTTTGAATTAAACGTTTTTTTTAATCAATTACTTTGCCCTTTGCCATTTAGCTTGTGACCCTGCCAAGTGACAAGGTCAAATATGCCTACTATTCGTGAAGTGGGATGGATATGATTTAAAATTCGATAGATTTTAATTAATTTATTAATTTAATTCAAAATTTTTGTTTCTATTTTTTGTTATATATCAGTACCATAGGATAGGCTCACACACACACTCCGTTCACACGTTACGCCCTATTTTTTTCCAAACGGTACAAAAGGTCACCAGTATATAAAATATGTATGACTGAAAGTAATAAAGTTATTATAGTTCGTTTGTTGCAAATGTTTGAGTTTTAATATGTTGACCATTAATTTAAACGAATGAAATTAATGGTCTCAAATTTGCTATATAACATTTTTAGTGTATATTTTTACTTAATAACGATAATCAAATCTTATCACGTTTGCAGTCGTTCTTAGTTTTATAAAAGAAGCAATGATGATGATGGTCAATAATTCTGTTTCGGTTTATTTGATTATACATATTTTAAGTTTAAATGGCATACAGATTTAATACAGATTTTAGCAGTTTCTAATACAGATAAAAGGTTCAAGTCATCTGGCAACACTGGTTCAACAAACCTCATTCAGGGATGATCGAAGTTTGCAAAACATCGATGAAATCGATGTTGCCATCGATGGCTCATCATCGATGTTCGATGTTTATCCTACTCAAAACATCGATGTTGAACATTATCGATGTTTTTTGAACATACATTTAATAGGTTAGAATTAGATGAATAAAAAATAGACATGTTGTACATAGTTCATTATTAATGAAATTGAAAAAATCATATACTATTGTTGCGCGGCTAAGTTGACATCTGGCACTAGCGCCATCTAGTGTCGGGTAACGGAGCGAGGGGAGAGCTGACATCACTAATCTTTCAACCGACAGCGCCATTTGTTGTCGAAACGAAGAACTATG